TCTTCATCAGTAAGTGCTGCAAGTCATCTTCACTTTCAGCACACAGGGTTGTGTCATCTGCATATTGCAGGTTGTTAATGGTTCTTCCTTCAATCCTGGTGCTGCGTTCTTCATTTAGTCCAGCTTTTCAGATGATTTGCCCAGCGTACAGATTGAAAAAGTATGATGAAAGGGTACAACCCTGATGTACACTGTTCCTGATTTTAAACCATGCAGTATTCCCTTGTTCTGTTCAAATGACAACCTCTTGGTCTATGTACCGGTTCTCATGAGCACATTTAAGTATTCTGATATTCCCATTCTTCACAGTGTTACTTGTAATCTGTCCACACATTCAAATGCTTTTGCATAGTCAGTAAAACACAGGTAGACATTTTTCTGGTATTCTTTGCTTTGAGCCAAGATGCATCTGACATCAGCAGTGATATCCCTTGTTCTAGATCTTGGCTTCTGAATCCAGTTTGCATTTCTGGAAGTTCCCTATCAATATACTGCTACAGCTGTTTTTGAAATATGTTCATCAAAGTTTTACTTGTGTGTATTATTAATGATAATATTTGATAATTTCCACATTCTGTTGTATCACTTTTCTTTGGAAAGGGCATAAATATTGATCTCTTCCAGTCATTTGGCCAGGTACATGTCTTCCAGATTACTTGACATAGATGAGTATGTGCCACCAGCACTGCATCCATTTGTTGAAACATATCAGTGAATGTTCCATTAATGCCTGGTGCCTTGTTTTTTGCCAATTCCTTCAGTGCCGCTTGGACTTCTTCTTTCAGTACCATTGGTTCTGGGTCATATGTTAACTCCAGAAATAATTGGATACTGACCAATTCTTTTTGGTACAGTGATTCTGTATTCCTTCCATCTTCTTTCGATGCTTTCTGCATCATTCAGTATTTTGCGCATTGAGAAAAAACTAAAAAGTCAATATTGCAAGTCAAGGCTTGAAGTTTTTTTCAATTCTTTTGGCTTGAGAAATACTGAGTATGTTCTTCCCTTTTGATTTTGTAACTCCAGATGTTTGTGCATTTCATCATAATACTTTGTCTTTTCAAGCTGCCCTTTGAAATCTTTTGTTCCGTTCTTTTATTTCAGCATTTCTTCCATTTGCTTTAGGTACTCGACATTTAAGAGCAAGTTTCAGAGTCTCTTCTGACATCCATTTTGGTCTTTTCTTCCTTTTCTGTGTTTTTAATGACCATTTGCTTTCTTCATGTATAAGGCTCTTGATGTCATTTCACAATTCGTCTGGTCTTCAGTCATTGGTGTTCAATGTGTCAAATCTATTTTTCAGATGGTCCCTTAATTCAGGTGGGATATAATCAAGGTTGTATTATTGTTTTTATTATTTTTTGGCTCTTATGGACTTGGTTTTAATTTTCTTTAGCTTCGACTTGGACTTGTATATGAGCATGGTGGTCTGTTCCACAGTCAGCTTCTGAGCTTGTTTTGAGTAATGATATCGAGCTTTTCCATTGCCTCTTTCCACAGGTGTAGTTGGTCTGATTCCTGTGTATTCCATCTGATAAGGTCCATGTGCATAGCCACTGTTAATGTTGTTGAAAAATGGTATTTGCAATGAATAAGTCGTTGGGCTCGCAAAATTATATCATGTGATCTGTAGCATCATTTTTGTCACCAAAACCACATTTTCTAATTGCCAGTGATTCTTGTTTGTTTCCAATTATTGCATTCCAATCACCAATAATTATCACTACATCTTGATTGCATGTTTCATCAATTTCAGACTTCAGAACTTGGTAAAATCTTCAATTTCTTCATCTGCCTTTAGTGGTTGGTGTGTAAATTTAAATAATAGTAGTAGTAGTATTAACTGACCCACCAGCCACTCCTCAGGAGGAAGGTTGGGCAATCTACTTCCATAGTGATACTGCATCGGAGACCCGAGGAGGGGTCGCTATGAGTCAGATCTGACTCGATGGCAGTGCATTGCATTGTGTTAGTATTAACTGATCTTCTTGTAGGCGTATGGATATTATTCTATCACTGACAGCATTGTACTTTAGGATAGATCTTGAGATGTTCTTTTGGACAAATGCAATACCACTGCTCTTCAATTTGTCATTCCCAGCATAGTAGATCATATGATTTTCTGATTCAAAATGGCCAATACCAGTTCATTTCAGTCCACTAATACCTCGGATTTTGATCTTTATGTGTTCCATTTCATTTTTGACAACTTCGATTTTCCTAGATTCATACTTCATATATTCCATGTTCCAATTATTATTGGATGTTTGCAGGTGTTTCTTCCTATTTTGAGTCATGCCCTGTCAGCAAATGCAGATCCTGAAAGTTTTACTCCATCCATGTCATTGAGGTTGACTCTATACTTTGGGGAGGCAGCTCTTCCCCATTCATATTTTGAGCATCTTCTAACCTGACGGGTTCATCTTCAGACACTATATCAGGCATCATTTCATGGCTCTTCATAAAGCTTTCCAGTAATATATCAGACAGTGTTTCACTGCTGTTCATAAGGTTTTCAGTGGCCAGTTTTTCCTGAAGTGGATGCTCCTGTCCTTCTTCCCAGTCTTTATCTGGAAGCTCTACTGAAACCTGTCCACTATAGGTGACCCTGCTGGTATTTGAAATACAGCCTTATAGCAACACACAAGGTACGACTGTATGACAAATTGACAGACAAGTGGTGTAAATATACTAGTAGTCATTGTGTTCTTTACTATCATACATTTGCAATAAATTGCCAGTTTCACTTAAGAGAGTTCTTGGGAAAGCAGTAGAAATTATTAATTATATTAAATCTTGATCTTTTAGTACTGTTGCAAAAACGGCAAGGAGGCCACATGTTCTGACCTCTAACCCTACAAGGGGAAATACCAGCAGTAACCCAAGGCCTATTACTGCAAGGCCAGACATGCTGCCTCCCTCCAGCCCTTTCACCAACCGTTCCTCCCAAGGCACCCACCACCTTTCT